CACGTCATTTGCTTCAAGGCGCTTAAGCTCGTCTGAAACTTGCTTGCGAACCGTAAACGGAAGTCGTCGCAATTTGCATTGTACTGGTGTAACATAGAGACGCACTTTTACCTTGTGTACATAGCCTTTGGCGTGACCAAGCTCGGAAACAAAAAGATGCTTGTAGTCAGCGCTCAGTGATTTTGGAAGGCGTCCCACTGTAGGTGTTTCAGGTGTCGCTATTCCAGCAGCAACTTGTCGATCTCCGATATGAGGAGGACCACTCTTCGGAGACAGCCGTGATGCGGAACTTGGTTCCCCTACAGCAGCACGTAGACGATCCTCCCACGACGACGGCGGTTGCTGGAATTTTTCTGGAGGGCTGTGTGCTACCCCGGCACCATCTGGTACTTCGTTGGTCAATGAATCCTGCCCCGATGAGGAATTTAGGCCTTTGACCTGAGTGTGAAGACAGCGCAACGCTGTCCCTATAGGATGCGAAGATCTAGGGCTTGTATAGCATCAAGACCCAAGAGAGACGTGCCAATGTTTGTAACATAAAATAATATAAACGCCGTTTTTTCCTGGTAGGAGACATCTGCGTAAAATGCTCCCAGGACTGTTATTATCTCATGTGAATAGTTCAGGAGAGCCGTTGGTGGTGAGAAAAGCTCGATGGTTCATTTCTCTTTGAGGCTCTTGAAAACCGCTTCCGAAACGATGGAAACGGACGATCCGGTGTCCACGAGAAAGTTGACAGCATGATGGAAGACGATGACGTCTATGTAAATGGCCGATCGACGACCACCAGGAGTAACGTTCATCACAACTCCATAATCGTCTTCGTCGTCATCAGAAAATATCTCTTGGATATGAACGGAGTTCTGTCGACGGTTGGAGCTCCTGCAGACTCGCGCGTAATGTCCACGCTTACCGCACCCATAGCACGTGGCATTTTTCACTGGGCAGGCCGCGGCGATTAGACATTTGTGCAAACCACAGTTTCGGCATTCTGGCAAGGTCTCCTGGTGCGATCTAGGTGCCCAAGGCCCGGATGTGAGCCTCTTGTACTGGACCAACTCCCGGTTATTACGTGGTACTGACCCTGATTGGTCATGAGTGGACGTCCGGGAGAGATTTCGATTTGAGGCTCGACGAGACAGAGGCTGGTCATGTTGTGGTGCATGGCAGGTAGTCAGTCGTTCCGACGTAGGCGGACGCCATGATACCTGGCGCGAGGAAGAACATCCTTTGTTACCTCGCTGCTGTCGATGGGATGGTCTACGACGTTCTGCATTGACCTCGCATGCTATTGAAGGCTCGTCGGCATATGGCTGTGATCGCATCGCGCTTGCTTCTTGTGCGGCCTTCTCTAGGTGAAGAGCGACGTCGACGGCGCGCTCGAACGTTAAGGCTTTGTCGTAGAGCAGTCGTTCGCGAAGAGAAGTCGAGGATATTCCCGCTATGAGCTGCTCGTGAAGGTCTTCGTCAACGCGGGTTCCAAAATCGCATGTGGTCGCCAATTGGCGTAAAGCCGCGATATACTCTGCGAGCGACTCGTTGGCTTGTTGATAGCGGCGGCGAAACCGATATCGCTCTACAATGGCGCTCGTGGTTGCAGAGAAATGGTTGGCTAAGGCTGCGACCGTTTTTACGTAGCAATCATGAGAGGGACTTTCCACAATGACAGACTGACTTGACGTCGTAGCTTCTCCAGCCGCGTTTACAGCTGGCCCCGTTGCTGGCGGAAGCGTAGCGGTAGCGGGTGGTGGAAGACGACTCACTATTACGGCATCATAGATACGTTGACCTTCATCACCCAAGTTGTGGATGAGGATGGATTGACGGCGAACGGCAGAAAACTCGGCAGCACCAGCTGCATTCATGTAGCGCTGGAACCGCTTGTACCATTCGTCCCAAGGTACTGGAGGTCGTCCAGGCGCATCCAGAAATGGCTTTGGTGGCGCGATGTTTGAAAAAGCCATCTTTGGGTAAGAGCGGATCAGCTTGCGGCAATCTGACGTCCTGGTCCGATCTAGCAGGAGGCTGCGTCAACGTTCTCGGAGCGAGGCCTATGTCCGAACGCTGCGGTAAGGCCTAACTGCGCTGAGTCCAGAATTGAGCTGCGGCAGGATCGCAGATCGGCGGACCAAGGTAGGCGAGGACGCGCAGTCCCCCGACGAACTTGGAGGCTAGCAGGGACCGTCAAGCATCCTCGTCGCCAAAAGGATGTCGTGTCCCAGCGAGGGACAACGGCAGGGACGTCGTGACTGAACCACCGTCATCAGGCCAATGATGTTTATTCAGGGCGCAAGGACCCAGCTCGAGAAAGAGAGAAAGACGAAGTGGCATCTAGTGGCCGAGAATGTGGCAAAGAAGTGGCAATGAAAGAAGTGAGAATACAACAACGACGTGACCCTCTGAGGTGATGACCGTACGGGCCCCAGCGGAATGGCAAAAAAACAAACAAAAAACATTGTATTTGTTTTTATCTTCAGGGTAGTTTGAGAGAGGGTGTTAAGAAAGGTAATAAATGCTTGCTTTGATTTCCTCTGAAGTGCATGAAGCGAAAAACCTTATACTAGCACACATCTGAACTTTTTTTTTTTTTTTTTTTTTTTAGGACCGGGGACTTGACACACCAAGCCCGATCACAGAAAGGACGTCCCGCGAAGGCCAATCCACGACCTCTTTGGTTGCATGCTGAATCCTAGAAGAGGGCAATCACGAAGACGTCACACACTGTCGAACCTTGCAAAGCCCTCTCTCTCTCTCCCTCTTCAAAAAATGAAGGCACTTTGAGTAATCTCGAAATGAGTTTGAGATCTCAGCTACGAATGTAATATTGAAACTATCTGGAATCATTTTTTTAGAAATAAGTTCAACTCTTTGGTTGGTGCATTCCATCCTTTTAGGATTGTTGATTCCAAGTTACGTAAAAACAACCCATAGATAAGTAGTAACTTACTTTCCTTGCTAAATAAAAAAAAATAGAAAAACGACGTTCGTAACTGAAATATAGTAGACTTAAGAACAAACGCGCTCTTTACAAATTAAAACGTTTAAGCACACAATATAAACAAAATCTGAAGGATCTAAAACAAAACTTCTCTCGTTTTTGAACGATGAACTTAAAGGGATCTCAAAAGAACTCTGAAATTGTGTAAAAAAAAAGAAGAAAGTCTCACTCGGTTTTTCTCCCATTATCGATAGCGGTCAACTTGTTGCAGAAGAGAAAAAAAAATTATACGGTTTTTAACAACTACTTTCATTTGTTTTGTTTTTTCCATCATCAGTTTCCACTAAACATCTACACCCTCATCCAGACTTGAAAGAAAAATTGGAATTGATTTTTTCTTACAACGGCTTACCGAGCAGTGTATCCACAAAATGTTCTGGTGATGCAGGGTCCTATTTAGATGTTTTGTTTAAAAAAGTTGCTTTTTAATGATAGGCTTCAAGCGAGTAATTATAATACATACTTGAGATACTCTCCCCGCTAAATACGTCGAGTGTACAGAACAAATACTTCGAAATGTAATTCAATTACTCCCGGACTACGTAATTTGTGTCGACTTCAGTGACAATACATTGCTTTGTTTGCGAGCAACAAAAGAAAAAATTAAATTGAATCGCAGTGCTATTTTATGCAACCCCGGTACAAGGAGTATACATCGCTGGTGCATGTTACGAGATATTTTGAAGACAATTGAGCAAAAGAGGTAATCACATCTTCCGGTGCTTTTAAAATGCACACCTTGGACGCGTCGTTTCACTCAGCGCCTGAAATCACTATATCCGGAGTTCACTTTAAAAAAGTTGATATTCTACGCAGAAGAATGACCGGAAAACGAGGAGGGGTAGGCATGGCGTTTAACGCGCCTTCTTGAAGCAGGATGCCCCAAATGCTGCATTTAAAGATGGCTAAACTTCAAAAGGAAAGGCACAGATGGGCACGAAGAAGCACTCTTGCCCTTCTCGCGTTTGTCGATTTTGCTATTCTTTCTTCACACTAAGCTCTAGGAAACCCTTTAAAAAGGCGTACTTAACTTTGAGAGGACGCATTGTTTGCATTTTGAGAGCTCACCCTGCTTGTGTCTTGTTTCCAGTCTTGTTGGTATCCCTATTTTCATGAAAGGTTCCGGCCATCGCAGATCTCGAGTTCGGGCCATCGCAAACACAATCAAACATTAAAAAAAAAAAAACTGTTTATTTCTTTGCATATTTTTTACTTCTTTTTTTTTTTTTTTTTTTGTTCTGTTAGCATTCTGAGTATGCCTCTTAGAGCCTGGCTCGTTTCCGGTTCTTGGTTCTTTTTTCGGTCGTTCACGCTTCAAGTTTGTGATCGGTTCAACTCTGCGCTAAGGGTGTGTGGATTACTATTCTCTTAAAATAGTCTCGAGCCAATTTATTTTCATTTTTTGCAAAGATTGACAAATGTATTTGAGAAATCAAGTACGAGATACCGAAAAATGTAATTAAGGTTGAGTAGCAAATATTCACGATCACATGTATCTGCAAGATATCAAAATTACTTTCGGACGTAGTTGGAATACAGTATCGCTTGAGACAGGCACAAATATGCGCATTATAGCAATGCGAGTGCGGCATATACAGACTGTTCGTACATCCTACAAAAGCCGCGACGTTCGCTGTAGACATGTATGACAGACTTATTTGCGGGCACGCCTCACGCGCGTTCCAAGCACGCTCGCTTAAAACCCACATATACTTCGGACATGCATGCAGGCAGTGTTTGTATGACCGGTGTAAGACTGTCAATGAAGAAGACTGTCAACAAAGAAACACGCCGCAGACTCTCTTTTGTACGATGTATTACCAGCGGTACGGCGGCCTCCTGCGTTGGCATTCATTTAAAGACTGTTCCAATCAATGAAAACTTAAAAAAAAAACAGGGCGTGTTTTTTTTTTGTGCTTTGTGATCGGTTTATCGGCGTTCTTGTTGACTAACGGCAAAATCGCCTTTTCGGCGATAACAAAAAGCTCTGGTGCTCCCCACGCCGTGCGCCTCTAAAGCTGTCATTTACCACACCGAGGGCAGCTGAAAGAGATGCCCCGCTGCGCTTCTAGGGCCGGCCGTGCAGAGTAGCCGTAAGAGTTAGTTCGCTGTTCCCTGTTCGTGCAAATGCCTTTGGGCAACCTCCCTGATCCGGGTTTAATGATGTTGCTAAGAACACACAGGGTGTCACACTTTTCCGAAATCTGCCAGCAAAACGGGCCCTCTACGAATTCCAGAGGAGTCAATGATAGCAACCGAAGCTCCGGCAGGAACGGTCTCATGGTCCTTTGCAGTGCGGTGACCGGAGTCTCGCCGCTCGCTTGTGCGAGGTGCACCATCGCCCAGGAGTAAACAGCCTCGATGATGTCGTATTCTCTTATCCTCAATGAGGGGTTCTTCAATATTCTCAGGACGGTTTCCTCCGATGCGGTGGTGAACTCCTTGCACTTTATTACCTGTTCAGCGTTCTCTTTCAGGTGCTTGTCGATGAGGTTGTTCAAGGTAGTGGTGCTTCCCTTTGCTTTCGTGTAATCCAAGACGTAGCAGACGTCGGCTGGCTGCAGTGACGTTTCGAAGAACGCGTCGCAAGCTTCCACGAGCCTCGCCACCCGGAACGCTTCAGCAGCCGTTCGTGTGTGCAGCGCTTGCGGAGTGTTGATTAAACTGGGGGCACGGGTGTAGAAGTACCTGAGGAGAAAGCAAATCAACCTACGTTATTGAAGCGAAATTATCTAGGACTAATTCTCATGACGACGTTTCAATATTTCATTTCGAATGCTTTTCCGATGCACTAGCGATCGCTGACAAACAAAAACACTGACGGAGGCGACGTACTTTGTCGCATGCCTTCCCTGCTACCACTATGATTTCGGATTACATTTTTTTATAATGACTTCTACTTTATCATACAAAAGCACTACCGTAGTTTCTGTTACTAAAAGATTAAAGAGAACGGATTGCGGGCGCATCTAATGCTCCTCCTGGCAACGTTCTTTGATCAAGAGCTGACAAGCTCCACCGGTAGGCGGCATTCGACAACGGTCGTTTTCTGTTGCTTTCAACGTCACTGTACCTAAATGTATTTACAGACTTCCTAGAACGCTAGGCACCATTTCGGTGCGCATCCGTTCGGTGGCGTTCATTACGCTATCAGCGCCCTCTATGCGCAGAAGCAGCGGAACCGATGGACCGTTGGATGCGCTTTGGATGCGCGTTGCTTGCGGCGGAAGGCGAATCTATTGTTGGTGCTTTTGTTCGGGCTGGTTCACATAGATTTCTTTCTGTTATGTTACGTTACTTTACTAGAGATTACAGCATGCTAACGCCACAAGTCACCGGGACTTGTGTATTTTATAGTAAGTGTGGCTACCAGGCTGGAGAACCCAGGGATCCTGGGTTCAATGCCCCCTGCCCGTTTTGCTCTGGATGAACACTGTACCATTGTGCGGTCATGTATCACTACTGTGTGATGCACGTTAAAGACCCCAAACCAGCGGTTGTACCGCACTGGCTAAATTGCTCATCTATACAGCCGAGACACCACACGCTTACTAAGGCAGACTAACTTCCGGCTGTATAAACAAACACACACCAATATTTTTTTGTGTGTCTACCAGTTTACGCAGATTGCCTGGCACGCGACATCCAAGACACGAATGAGTCGCAGATAATTACGTAACGTAAGAAGGCGGTACCGTGCGAACCAGCCTTTAGGCATAAAGTTTGCGCAAGAGTTTACGCAAACATTTGAGAAGAGAACACCTAAGTACTTGTTATGGATTACGAATGCGAAATCAAGAATGTCCAATTGAACGCCGCGGAGTGCTCTGCGTAGGTTGGCGATCACCGAAGATGCAGATGCTTTAAGCGGCGCCTTGTTCGTCGGCAATCAGAGGAGCAGTATCGGCCGAGCGCGCGGCACCGCGTTCTTTTTACCGGCGGGTTAGGGTGCCTAGATGTCTGTCTGTCTCAGGGTGAAGACATCCATTGTTGTCCGGAATGTGCCAGCGCGTGACGCTCTCGCGCACTCGGTGCGTGACTTGGGCGGTAAGATGGCGTCTATGCATCAGCCAAAGCTACGCGCTCGAGCTGAGTGACACCGGATTGCGCGCACTTCAAAATGCATAAAAAAACGATTGGGCGGAAAAATGGCTGAGATGTCACCACTCAAGCAAAAGCGCGCGTGTGTATGAAGGCACTCTACGGCGGGTGGGCCCGCAGCGCCATGGAGTGACATTCTTTGAAACTAGGGTGCGCGCCAGTCAAGGGGAGTTTAGAGTTCCTGTATTAGCGGCGAGATGTTTTAGTGGCGCCCTCCTATGGTTACCTTTCGTGACGTCATTACCTTGCGACCAACAAGTTCGATGGTGTTTGTAAGGAGCATGGTGGAGGCTTGAAATCATTGCCCTCTCAAAGCAACACTACCAACAGCGTCGAAATTGAAGTTCTTCCATTCCTCTTATTCCCGTCGATGAGAAATCCTTTGCTCACGACATAGTCAGCATTCGGCCAATCGTGCAAGGCCGACCACAGCGACGCTTTCGATCGCGTACGTCGCCAATAGACAATTGCAAGCATGGCGCCACAAGTGGTGCCCCATGCGTGCAAGCGCGTGCCACGCGCGGGTGAACGTAGCTTTCGCAAGCTCGTAATCGCACGGGCGTGGCTGCTCGAGCAGAGACATGGCGGCGGCCAATCGCCCGGCTTGCAATCGTCTATAGGCTTCCTATGGGAGCCAGAGTGTCGCGTTCATCTCCGTAGCGCCGCCTTTCCCGCACGGCATGTTGATCCCGCTCGTCACGTTACTGAATTCGGCGAATAGCGGCGCCGCGCCTTCGAGGCGCGCGGCGCGCTCAAAAGCAGGGGAACGTATATGCCCGGGCGCGTGCAACGTCTACTTTCCTGCACGGCACTTGATCCGGCTCCTCACGTGATCGGATCTCGGCGATTAGCGGCGCGGCGGCACGCGGAAAACAGACGCGCAATTTGGCTCCCCTAGGGAGCCTATAGACGCTTTTCAGCAGCTGTTCATGGGCGGCGCCATAAGTGACCTTCAGTTTTTGTTTCCTTTTATTTTGATCACTTCCCTCCATCAATGCCCCAGCAGGCCATGTTATTGCCATTTTAGATCCGTCTGTGTCCTTCTCCCCAGCAATGGCCTTTGTGGAGGCTCCTCAAAACACGCTTCGGTGGCTTGGTATCTCGGTAAGACAAGAGAAGGTCAGTAATGGCGGCTGCAATATAGCTCGTGTGCAAAGCGTCTATATAGAAACGCTAGGGGAGTTTATTTTCCGTTTCGCTGCTACAGACTACAGGTTTCACTCCATGGGACAAGGGACTTTAGGTGCCGTTTGGCGCAGCTTCAAAAGCTGATAACGCCGGTTCGTTCCATGGGACAGTTAATGCTTTCTAAATAAATGGATACTACAACGAAGTTTCAGCGCCTAGTTTATGGTCTATACGAGCTCAAAGGAGCAGTATCACATCGAGAACACCAATATCGTCACTACCTTGACAGGTAGTGACGATAGCCGTCTCGCCTAGGCTTATACATGCTTTGAACCTGACGTCATCCCGACAGCTCTACGGCCAGCACAGGAGAAGAGGGGAGGGAGCAACTCATTAGTCAACGGGACTCTCTTTTGTGGTCCCAGTCGTCGCTATCCTCCCTCTACAAGATTATTGAAGATTAACCCGTCACTCAAAATTCATACAATAGCAGCTTTGGTACTAGTTGCTGTGGCCCAATCGCTGGCGTGCTTTGACCGCTTAAGTGGTTGGATCGAAAGGCTAGGGCATCCTGACGACATCAGTTTCGCCCGCAGCCTTGCTCATCCCTATAAAAACTACGTCACGACTGCGCCAGATGTGACGTGCTCTCCGCTGGCTGCTGTCCGAGTGCTTGCCAGAGTGGGCCGTTTATAACGAAAAATACAATCATCAGGCTCAAACTACAAACCTGCGATTGTCATTTACGGATATTGTGAATCATATTCAGCCTATTTCTGAGTACGATAGGTATATTTCAAATTTAGTTGAAGTATCCGTTTAAAAGAGTGTCTTCCGAAAGGGTTCCTTCTCCGTTGCCCGTGGAAGCGTTGCTGCTTGTTGCGCTAGGAACGCTAAACACGCGTACCTGCTTTCGTGTTCATACTAGTAATGCAAAACGATCGATAGTACTATCGATAGTATGGATAGTCACCAGAAATCTGACTATCGATAGTCGACTATCGAAAAGCTATGGTACTTTCCAGGGTGTCGAACCGGAACCGAACCGAACCGAAAACCGGAACAGAACCGTTATTTTTAGCCGAACCGGAACTGAACCGAACCGAAATCTTCGCCGCCATCTTGGAACTGAACCGGAACTGAACCGGAAAAAAAATATAACGGTAACCGGTTCAAAACGGTTCACGGTATTTTTTTTGTTAGTATTACAAATTTTATATTTGGAAATAAAAAAGTGGCACGTGTATTCCTCTACGTATTGATCAAATCGTCATATACAGAATTGCAATGTATAATAAATCCTGGGTTTTTGCGGCACTTTCTTATTGGCACTATGATTAGGCATGTGTCAAATGGTCACGTGACGTATGATGTCAAGACATGCTGTAAAGTAATGTCACATCACGTGACCGCGTGAAGTCACGTGACTCACCGCGTTAAGTCGATTCAAATTGAGGACGTCGCTATATCTATTAACGTTGTTGATACCGTGACGTCACATGACATCACAACTTCGCACTGAGAGTCACGTGACACCATGATGTACCCAATTGTCATGATCCCGAGTCGAATGCTCTGGTTCATGACAACCAGCATCGCCAAACATTCGGGTAACGGCTCGTGTTCAACTCAAAGATTATGATGGGCCCAAGTCCCACTAGAGCTAGAAACAGAAAAAAACGACAGCGACAAGCCTCAGACACATGCAGCATGCTCGCGATGGTACGTTTATACGGCTTTGAGTTGTTCGGTGTTCATAAAGTTAGCACGAGTGTTTACAAGCCTGCAAATGGTACCCTCCTGTGCATGATGCTCGTGTTTGAGCATAGCCTTCTTTATTCTACAAGGCCTGTCAAATCGCGAGATACTCTGGTTTAAGGCCTGCCGCTGTCGTTTGTTTCTGTTTGTCGCTTTAGTAGGGCTCGGGCATTATAGCCCAACTAAAACTGTATCTGAAGATCAGCCCATGCTCTATGCTTTGCCAACCCTCCGTATGACTATGATAAACACTGACGGTGTATATATTGCCGCGCGCGCAGCTGGCCAAGTAGGCAGCGCGCGCGTGGCCTAACGGTTATCGCGCTTGCCTCTTACGCAGAAGGCCAGGGTTCGATTCCTGGCAGCGGCTACACATTTTTGTTGAGAGTGTAATTTGATGTTCTGGTGAATTCGAGAACCGTCTTGTTGATTCGCGGTTAGAATGTTCTACGCGCCGAACCTTCTACGCCGAACGATCCAGAAACCCACGAGGGTACGTAAGGGATCCCGCCAGGCGAGCGCAGTCAGTCTCGCCCCAGCGTTCGACTCTGCTGCCACGCCGACTTCGACGCCCGCGACGCTCTATTATTATCTTTTGTACTCTTTTATTTTTGGCACAAGTTCGACACATTAAACGTTTATTTCTTCTTGTTTATTTCCTGTTTTCTTTTGGTCACCACCCGTGACATTTTGGTGGAGGT